AGAGTTTTATCAGGTGATCATTGCCTCCATTGTTTTGCCTGGGGGTTTCTAGGTAATAATCTAGTCCAAATAACCTCAGATGCTATTGAATGTGCATGGATGAATTCAGATGGTGAAGTCTTGGACTTGAGACAACTCTTGACCTGACTCCTCATCCCTGAGGTTGGTTCGACTGGTAGCCACATGATTAGACACTTCCAGTCTGGCTTTTGGTTTTGGGACATAAGGTTGTTGTCTCTTTGCAGGGCCCCCAGTTTTTCTCTCTACCCTGCCTCTCCATGGGCTGTTAAAGAAGCCTCCTTGTAGGTCACTGTCCTTTATTCTATCACCTATCAGAATCTCTGTAGGACTCTTCAGAGGGGTGCCCATGTGCTCTGATGGATGGCCTCTCCCATTAAATCTAACATAATGGTGAACAATCTCTAGTGGAAAACTAGACTCAAATTCAATTAGAATCTAAAAAGATGTCTTTGGTGGATAACAATCTCACTTGGACAGTGCATTTAAAGGAATTTCTCTCTTGAATCTAGGAAGATCACTGCCTTTGAAAATTATTGCTTTGTAACTTGCCAAACTTGTTTTACAACTTGTTTTAACAGGTTTCCGGTGAAATAGCAATGGGTAATCAATGCTTGTTATAGCCCCCCTAAGGTGAATTTTACAATCTCTGGTTTAATGTCACTGATTATAGCTGGAGTCTTATAAAAAGGGTAGAATCCTACATAATGTAATTTTGACCTTAATTCAGATAGAGGTATGATGTAACTTGAGCATCTTCAGTCTTCCAGGTATAATTGCTAAATGTAAATTGGGTAAATACAAATGAAATAAATGTGTCTAAGTGTAAACTTTGGTACTCTTAGCACCTTTATAGTCTATGGAAAAACTGGATTTGCTAACATATTTTCATAAATTGTCCATATGAAAATAGTTCAACACTACTTAAAAGTAACTAAGGTTGAAATTTGATGTGTTACCTTATTTAGAAAATGTTGTCTTAAATCAGAGATTTTTGCACAGAACTAGATTCTGATCCTCTTTTTTTTTTTTTTTTATTTTTTTATTTTGACAGGCAGAGTGGACAGTGAGAGAGAGAGACAGAGAGAAAGGTCTTCCTTTGCCGTTGGTTCACCCTCCAATGGCCGCCGCGGCCGGCGCGCTGCGGCTGGCGCAGCGCGCTGATCCGATGGCAGGAGCCAGGAGCCAGGTGCTTTTCCTGGTCTCCCATGGGGTGCAGGGCCCAAGCACCTGGGCCATCCTCCACTGCACTCCCGGGCCACAGCAGAGGGCTGGCCTGGAAGAGGGGCAACCGGGACAGAATCCGGCGCCCCGACCGGGACTAGAACCCGGTGTGCCGGCGCCACTAGGCGGAGGATTAGCCTAGTGAGCCGCGGCGCCGGCCCAGATTCTGATCCTCTTTTAAAGCAATGAGGTTTTTGTAAGCATTTATGTCAGTAAATATTTTGAAATAATGTTTAAAAATCTATTTAAAACCTGCAGCATCTCCTCTTAATAGTTTTTGTTTAATTGGTGACTCTGTCAGTTTTCTAGCCAGCTCCAGTAAGCTGTTTTCTCTTGCCTAGTTGTGACTCTGTTAAAATTGTTCCATGTTATGCAATGATTCCATGTGCTAACTCTTATATTTAAGATTTTATTTCTGATTTTGGGGATGACAAAGAGACACAGATTTTGTGTATTGTTGAAGTAATCTATTGTGCCCTCTTGATGTCTCTGCTACATTCTGATTGTTTCAAACAGCAGAAGTTTTTTTTTTTAATTAAGAGTTATGGTTTGTTTAAATATGTGCTTATTCTAAAACATCTGAGTAATCACTTTGTAACAATGATCAGATCTGGTCTATATTGTGTGATGATGTTAAGGAATCCTATTTCTACCAGATATTTTAAGCCTTCTTGGCACCTTTGACAGGCATTCAGAAAATCAAAGTTCCAAATTCTTTGGTCTTTGATATCTCCAGTTGGGCCTCTGGAAATCTCAAAGGATATTTGTCTCATCTTACAGAGACACCAGTTAATAAGACTATTTGGATTATATTAAAAGTAATGTCAAGATGTGATGTAGTGCTAAATTTTAAGATATGATAATGTAAAATGCTACTGATACAATTATCCAAAGGTTAAAAATTCTAATGATCTTGTATTACCAGACATGACGATTATCTTAATAAGAAAGGCCCAGAGCCTAAAAGGGACATTGTATAAAATCCTACAGGTTTTTTCTAAAATACTGTGTGGAGTAAGCAAATGCCTCTTCTTGTTGGTTGATGAGTTTATACTTTTAAAACATAGCTATTTAAAGTCTTTTGTCATCAACAGTTTTGTACATCAGATTTACTGCTCATGGAAGTTAAAACATTGTTGGTTCTGTATTTGAATGTGTCCTCTTATGTTTCAGAGGGCTTATTTGTCCCTGACTTCCATTGTATCCAATACCTTGGGACAGTTTTTGTAAGCAGATAAAGCCAATAAAGGACTACAGTTTCCAACTTAGAAAAAGTATAATTAATTCAGATTACTAACAGCAGGAAGTAATTATATTCAATTAGTGGTAATTTTTTAAAAAAACAGCTAGAGATTTTAAGAAGCTATTACTGAAAGTGTTATTGTTCTATCTTGTATATTATCATATTATCATATACATGCATATGTATTCTGTGTCTATAGGAGAAAATTGATTAAGAGATCTGTTTTAATTGACTTATAGATAAAAAGCTGCTCATAAATTTCAACTGCCAAATTAATCAAAGATACTTTTTTTCTTTTGGTTCATGTGACCTAAATTTCTCTACTAGATGTTTTAAATCAGTTGGTAGAAAGAAACTAAAAATGTTTAAGTCATTGACATGTTTGTGCTTGGGTTTGCTGGTCAATCAAGTTACACTTGTGTTAAATACTTAAGCTATTTTCAAATACATGTACTCTTGTCTTGAAATGTATAGAAGCCATTGGACCTTCTGGTAACTGTTTTCATAACTTGTTATTTAACAGTTAAAATTGCTTGCTAAGTTTTCATTTGTTATCAAGTTACTGACAGTAAGTGATCAAGGAAGCCTGATTTGTTCCCTCCTTTCTCTATTCTCTTCATATGGGAAACCGATTCTATTCTGAAGGACTCTCCAGGATTTACAGCTTGATCTTTAGATCATATAAGAGGGATGGCTAATGTTTTTCTGTAATAATACGATAGCAAAAATGAGAGCTTAAATTATGATTTCACATCTGGATTTACCTTGCCAGGGGCACCGTAAACAGGCAAAACTTCCCTTTCAGACCAAACAAGGGAGAGAAAGTTTTACTAATGACTTAAAATTGTATAGATAATTTGGTTATCATGTATGATGTTAAAGTGAGAGCATATCTTTCCTCATGGACATTGTCTACCTCACAGGAAAACCAGAACATGCCTGTAACCATAGATTTCTAGTTTAGGTCACCAAAGATTGAGATGGAACCGGGCACCCCCTTGACTGCATCCTCATAAAGGTTTTCTCTGGTCTGCTTTGGCAGAAACCAGGAGGTAGAGGAAGCTGGGCAGCAGAGGCAATGTAAAGGTAGGTGGCAGCCCAGTTAACGGCTGCTTTACACAGTGATCTGTCATCAAGGAGACCCGACAGGCTGGTCCACTGCAGTGGTTTTCTATTTTTTTTTTTTTTTTTTTTTTTTTTTTTTGGACAGGTAGAGTTAGACAGTGAGAGAGAGAGAGAAAGAGAAAAAGGTCTGCCTTCCATCGGTTCACCCCCAAAATGGCCACTATGGCTGGCGCACTGCGCCAATCTGAAGCCAGGAGCCAGGTGTTTCCTCCTGGTCTCCCATGGGGTGCAGGGCCCAAGCACTTGGGCCATCCTCCACTGCCTTCCTGGGCCTCAGCAGAGAGCTGGATTGGAAGAGGAGCAACCGGGACAGAATCTGGAGCCCCGGCTGGGACTAGAACCTGGGGTGCCGGCGCTGCAGGTGGAGGATCAGCCTAGTGAGCCGCGGCGCCAGCCTGCAGTGGTTTTTAATGTGGAAAGCCAGGCATTGCTGCACCAGAAGCTACGAGTTGGTTCACTGGAAGCAGAACTGTCCTGGAGTCAAAGGACTCCCAGGTCAGAGCCGCAGACCTTGTTGACTCTAAGCCAAAAAGCCCTTTACTCATTGCAGTTTCCAAAAGCAACCACTGCTGTTGAGGGGGTGGCCAGCAGGGTCAGTAACATTGCAGGCAGCACTGTAAATCTCCTGTTAGAGATTCCACCTGCCTTCTCCCGGCCAGCTCTCCTCCCAGGCCAGCCAGGGAATGGGAGTCAACAGGGTGCCTTCCCTAAGGAGGTCCACACCTCCCTTATGATGTCTCTCCCAGTACCCCTCGTGAAGGGATAGGTGTGGACTTCATACATATATCTGGCCAGGCCTTGGCCCACCTGATTGCTATCAGGTCCCTCCTATCAGTTTCTATTTGACTCTTAATGGGAAAACTTGCTCGTGGCTTAGACAGCACCTTTCTTAGGTCTCTAATAGTGACTCTGTCCTTTGTTTTAAACCCTGTGAGTTCAATCTGCTTGCTAGATTTGTTTTCTCCAGACTTGAAACAGTGAAATTCTAGATGGCCGTGCACATGAAACCTCAGATGGAGGCAGTTTCTGCAAGCTGGCACTGCACCCCCCTCAAGAAGCCACCTCCCATGGGAACCCTGTTCCCATGAATGTCCCTTTTCAGCATGAAGCAGCCAGAATGATTATCACCCAGGTCCCCTAAAAGAATTTAGGATCCATCTTCTTGGGGGAGGGGGAGTGTGAGCAGTCAGATGGGCTATTAGGCAGCCAGTGGAAACGGGGGTGCATTTCCTTAGGAATCTCCCAGTTTCACCATGGGAGTAGCAAGGGAGTGGTGATTCCATCCTCCTCAGATCACAGTTTATTGGGAAAACAAGTTACCCATCCACCCTTCTGGAAGGCTTTTTTTGTTTTATCATGAGCAAACCAGACAGGATAAAGGATTAGAAATCAGGTCTTTTGATGGGTTTTGCCCCTGCCTTGTACCTGAATGACAATCTGATTGGCAAGTTTATTTTATTTTATTTTTCAAAATTGTGCTTAAAATCCCACTGCCACCAACCACTCTGGGTTTTGCTTCTCCTGGAGCCCCCTTCATGCCACTATGGCTGGAGGCCTCTGACTCTAATAAATCTTGGTTTTAGACCTTTGAATCTTGCTTTTCCCTTTGCCTTATCTGCTTGGAAATTCTTTTTTCACGTGAGACAAAGAACTGAGGCAGCCGTTCCATACCTGAGTGCTGGTTCAAGTCCCGGCTCCTCTGCTTATGATTCCGTTCCTTGCTAATGCACCTGGGAAAGCAGCAGGCAATGCCTCAGGTACTGGAGTTCCTGCCTCTCATGTGGCAGACACAGGTAGAGTTCCTGGCTTCAGCCTGGCCCACTTCTGGCTACTGTGGCCAACTGGGGAGTGAACCAGAGGATAGAAGGTCATTTTCTGTGTGTCTATTTTTATCTCTCTGGCACTTTGCCTTTTAAATAAATAAATCTTGAAAAAAATAGCATTCATCTGTGTCTCATTGATCAGGTGAGGAGAAAGAGGCATTCGCCTAAAGGCTTGCCAAGCCCATGCGCATGCTGTGTCATCTCCACAAGCATTCCGGCAAATGGGATTTCTCACACCCACACCCGTGACAAGGAGACCAGCCCCAGAATGGTCAATGAGACTCATGCCATTCACAATGTCTGGTCAGGGTGAGGTCACTGGCCTGATCCCTCTGTTCTGGGCACTGAGTAGCTCTGCTTCTCCCTGCCCAAGCTGAGACACTGCACTGGCCAAGAGTCAGACTTGAGCTTTGCCATAGATGAAGAGAGGCAGCGCAGAGATGCTTGTTCTATACAGGGACTGCTGCAGGCATGCTGGCTCCTGGGTATCCACTGGTTCATGTCCAGCGGGCCCTCCAGCACCCACCTCACGCACCGCCTGCACCTCACAGATTTATTCAGCATCATTAGAAAGGAAGCCCACTGTTCTGCTGGCGGGGGAAGAAGCTTGTCTGCATTGGCGGTGTCTCTGACCCAAGTATGAATGTTCTTGTTCATGGAAAGGTGTTTAGTTCTCCTGGCTGCCCTGCCAGAAGGAAGGGTGATGCTGATCTCAGAGCAGGGTCTAGTTTCCCGAGGTCAGGGACTGGCACCTTGGGCTGAAGTGATCTTATATCCCCTGGGCCAGAGGTGTCTTTGCACTGTGTTAATGGGGGCAGTTTCCATGGTGCCATTGGCCAGCATGACCTCCTAATATGGTGTATCCACGTTGAGGCTGAATAATGCAACTGACACCATGGGCGTGTAGAGGTTGCAGGCCCTGAGATGTCTGCAAGCCCCAAGACCACACTTGGAATGGGGTGGGGGGATGAGAGGAAGAGGAGGCAGGAGATCCTGGAAGTCTTCATCACCGGCAGTTTTGACTTGAGGTGGTCTTGAACAGTGATGGGATAGGCCTACCTGGCCAGTTCAGAACCCTCTTGTGGGGCCTCCAGAGTCAGGCTTCCTGCCAACAGAAACCCACAAGGAGATCATCATAAGAGAGTGAGGTTTCTTGCACCTTCAGGGCTAAATGGAGTTCAGATTCCCTGCCACACACCCCTTCCCCAGTGACTTTGTCTACAGCTTCATTTCCTATGGTGTGCTTAGGGAAACCTTGACCACAAGAGCGATGATCAGCGGTACAGGGGCAGAGTAGGTGCTGCAGGGCAGAGGTCTCCAGAGAAACTCCCACCCTGAGGGGCAGATGCTTGTGCAGGGTCAGAGCATTCTGGGACAAGACAGGGAGGAGGAAGCCTGCGTGGCGCTGGGACTGTCTGGATCGTCCTCAGCTGACACACACAATGACCATCCAAGGAAGGCTTATTTGGGTCTGCAGATCGTGCCCCTAGCATTTCAAGTTAAAATTTACATAGCTAAACGTGAGTGCATCAGTTTTACAATTGGAGTAATCGAGATATTGCTTCGCAGAAATGACCTCTCAGTTTCCAATATGTTGGATTGTGAATCTGCTCTTGCAGTTGGGCTTACTATTGCTCATGCTGTGGAGGCTGTGAAATGGCAGTGACTGAAGTGCAATCCTTACATGGCTGCAAATGGAGGAAAAATAATTTACTTACGAAATTCATGCTTAAATGAGATAAAGACATAAAGCACCGTCCTAAGAATTATAATTCTATTGAGGTTCTATTTAAGCAATTATACAATTGCTTATCTACAGTGAAAACCAAATGAGAGAAAATTTGAAATTACTTTAGAGGAAAAATATTACTATGTTTCTTGGCCATCAGAGATGACTAAACAGAAATAACAATAATACTATATTGACACTATCCGGAATAAAATAATGTAGAAATATTTGACTAATAAGGTGCACTTTTATACGAAGGATATTTATAAAACACTGCCCTAAAATTATAATCATATCAAGTCTCAATTTGATAACGTATGGTTACTTAAATAATAGTAATAAAACCAAAAGAGAAAATAATCAAAATTATTTTACAAGAAAAGACAAAATAAAATCCTTGCTGTTTTTCTGGATTATTATAGTGGACTCGTTAGCAACAATAAAAAATACAATGATATCATCCACAAACATATTAAATGAAAGATATTACCATATATAAGACACATTTAAATCAAATTACACTTTTCAAACACTCTCTAAGAATTATAATATTACCAAGTGCCCATTTAATCTGTGTATGGTCACTTACCAGAAGCAAAGCTATAAGAAAAGATGTGTCTGTTGCCAGAGGCAAAGCATTTTACTGTGGCCCTGGATCCTCTGAAAGAGGGTCTTTGGGCCCTGGTATTCCAGTGAGGATGACTCACTTCTTGTCTCAGGACAGAGGAGTGGACAGCACTTGATGTGAAGACATTTGGTGAGACCCATGGAAGCTGGGCTGCACCCAGTGACCTCCAAGGGACACCAGTCCTCACTTTCTGGAACAGAGGGAACAAAGTCCTGTATCTCAGAAGCATCTCTTGGGAACACCCGACCCAGAGGGAGGTGCAGGACCTGTGCCTGGACTAAACCGGATGCTCAGCCACTGTTAGGAGAACGGGGAAAATCTCGTCTTCAGTGACAGAAGCGGCTGCCTCAGGAAGGCTGGCCCAAGTAGGTGGTGGAGCTCCCTGCTGATGGCCTGGGCACACAGCAGAGGGTGGTCAGGTGCTCGGGACCCACATTAAGCTCCTGTGGTCCCTGGCTGTGGCCAGCCCAGCTTGGCTTTCGTGGTCATTTGGGCAGTGAGCCAGCAGATGCAGGATCTCTCCGCTTTCTCTCTCACTCTTTCTCTTTTTCACCCTATCTCTGTAAGTTTGACTTTCAAAAATTAGATAAGTCATTTTTTTAAAAAAAGTGGGTGGTGGTGGGTGTATCTCATGCAGTCTACACTGTGCACAAGACACTGGATCCTGACACCACTACAGAATCTTATGGCCACCTCCTTTGCTGGGCATCTGCTCAACCACAGGATTCCTTCATGGTCTCTCCAGCTTATGCCGATTTCTTACTGTAGAATAGTCAATATATGGTTATTCTTTGAAACTTCCACATTCTTCCTGAGTATTATTTGATTTGGTGTATTTCTCAGGTTATCTTAAAGTAATTGAGAGAATTAAACCAACAGAGTTTTCCACCCTCTATCATGAGGTTTTCCTCTCACGGGAAGCCTGCTGGCTTGGTGACAGTGATGCCTCCAGTCTTCTCAGCGAACGCTGACTCGTCTTAGAGCTCTGCAGATCTTAGATATACATGGCTCTCCTGCTATGGAGAACTTCGCTGTCTTTACAAAGTAAAACTTCTCTTTTACAGGATAAAGAAATTAGATATTTGGTGAAAATTCAATTAATCCTCTTGATGCACTTTTTTTTTTTGGACAGGCAGAGTTAAACAGTGAGAGAGACAGAGAGAAATGTCTTCCTTCTGTTGGTTCACTCCCCAAATGGCCACCACGGACTGTGCGCTGCACCGATCCGAAGCCAGGAGCCAGGTGCTTCCTCTTGATCTCCTGTGTGGGTGCAGGGCCCAAGCACTTGGGCCATCCTCCACTGTGCTCCTGGGCCACAGCAGAGAGCTGGACTGGAAGTGGAGCAACCGGGACAGAATCCGGCGCCCTGACCGGGACTAGAACCTGGGGTACTGGTACCGCAGGTGGAGGATTAGCCTAGTGAGCAGCGGCGCCAGCCTCTTGATGCACTTTTAAGATATATTAGAGAGAGAGAGAATGAGAGAGCACGCTCTCCCATCTGCTTGTTAACTCATCCAAATACATGCAGCTGAAGCAACCAGGAGCTCAATCTAGGTTTTCCATGTAGGTGGCAGAACCCCAGTCACTTGAGTTCTCATGGTTTCCTCCCAGAGTCTGCATTAGCAGGAACCTGGATACCAGAGCCAGGGCCAGGCACTGAGCCCAAGAACTCTGGTGTGGGACTCAAACCAAATCCCTGCCCTTTGTGAGAGGAAGTTTCTGCTTCAGTGGCTGGTGCTCTTGACTATCTGACTTACTTTGTACCTCCATTGATGTGTTCTTTGGTTTGGAGATATTTCATATGACCTGTGAATGCACTGCCTAGTTCAACTTCTTCACTTCACTTAGTACACATTTGGTTTCTTTCTTCTTCAAAAGCCTTAAAATAAGTATTTAATTCAACCACATCAATCGGATTCTTTAAAATTCCTTTGATTCATCTTCTAAGTGGTATCCATTATCCAGAGAATTCATCATGTCTATTTGCAAGGTCCCACAACTCACATTGTCTTTCCCAAGAATGGTAGCAAAAGCCGCCATGAATTGCAAGTGTCCACGCAGGGACTCAGTCTAACTTGCCTTGGAGATCCGAGCACATCTCTCATGGCAATGACTTCATTCGTCCTTCATTTCCGTCCTTCAGCCCCTCACAAAGCAGCTTCAGTTTTTCAGGAAAGTCGAGCTTTTCTTCAAAGCTCTCCCACTACTGTCTGAAGCCGTCCTGTGCCCATCCGATGGATTTTGAAGGACCTTCCCAGTGCAGCTGCTTGAAATGTGTTCTGATGCATCTGGTGAACACTGAAGCTCCCTAATGTCAGTCATCAGCCCCGCTTTCTCTCAGCATTGAGATTTGTCTTCTGCATTCTCTTTCAGAAGGTGTCCATGCTACGCCCAAGTACAGTTGGGGATTTCCAGTTTGTAGGCATGTTTCACATGTCTCTGATCCTTTATTCTCTGGTCTACTTTGTCTTGAAGTTGACCTCTACATATGCACTTTTCCTTGAAATTAATAGGCTTCACTTCTTAGAGCAGTTTTATTATTGCCAAAAAGTTAAACAGAACCTACAGAGTTCCTAGATACTCTGCCACCCCTCACCCCTCACCCACCAGTATGAAGTGTCCTCTATTGCTAACATCTCCCATTAGTGTGGCACATCCTCACAGCTGATGGGCCAGTCTTCATATATTCAATTAACTGAAGTCTGTGGTCTACATTAGGGTTCAGTCTTAGCACTGAGCAGTATATACAGGCCTTGCCAAAGGCATGCCACGTCCCCACCATGTCTCACACAGGTTAACTACCCGGAAAATCTTTGTGGTACCCTGTCATCTCTACTTCCCTCAAACCCTTCTGACCTTTATACTGTCTCATAATTTTTTCTTTTTCCAGAATATCATATCCTTGAAATATTATAATACATAGTCTTGTCCAGCCTAGCTTCATTTACTCAGTAAAATACCTTTGAGATTCCTTCATTTTTTTTTTTTTTTGTCTTGATAACGCATTTCTGTTTAGTGCTGAATAGTATTCTGTTATCTGGATATGACGGACACATTCTTTTATACATTTGCTGATAGAAAGACATCTTGATTGCTCCCACATTGGGCAATTACTAATAAATCTGTTGTAAATATTCATGTGCAGGCTTTTTGCAGAGACATAGAATTTAGTTCATTTAGGTACTGAAGGTTTTTAAACTTCTCAAAAAATGTAGTGTATTTTTTTTAGAAAGATAGAAACTCTAGTGGGTAGTTTGTCTCTTCTTGAATAAAATAGTCTCAGTAATTGAAAATATGACTGGTACTATGAACAGAATCAACTATCCCAGCAATCTCTGGATAATGTGGACAGCACTATACCCAGACACCTGGCCCAGAGTCCCCAGGAGAGGGACAACACAGGGCATCCTAACCAACAACAAGTCCCTCACAGCCTCAGGGACACTATGCAGTCACCTCTGGCCGCCAGGACCTGGCCACTGCAGAACAGTGTTCTACCCAGAACTGAATCCATGCCCCTTACCTGACAGCCCGTAGAGCAGGTGCAGTAAGTTCAGTGGATGCTCTGTCTTCTTGTGCATAAGCTTCTCACTGGAGTAACTTCAAAGCCTCATTTTGCCCACAAAGTTCACAGAGAACTCCTCATTCTCATCATCCTGGTCAGGTGGTTCTGGCATCTTTGAACATGTGGGGAGAGATGCAGAATTACAGAAGATCTTACGAAGGAAATATCCTCACGAAAGCTAAGCAAGGAGGCCATACCACGGTGCCGGTTAGGAGCTTGCATCCTATGTTTGAGTGTCCAAATTCCAGCTTCCTGCTAATGTGCACCCTAGGAGGCAGCTGGTGATGGTTCAAGTACTTGTGTCCTTCCACCCACATGGGAGACTCAGATTGAGTTCCAGGGTCTTGGCTTCAGCTGGACTGAGCCCCAGCTGTTTGCAAGTGATCTAGGGCATGTCATATTTCTCTCTGTTTTTTTTCCTCTTTCTCTCTGTCTCTCTCTGCCTTTCAAATACATCGAAATAAACAATTCATGCTGTTTAAAAAATAACTAAGAAATGAAAACCCAGAACAGCTCCCAAGGGCCTGGGATGGAGTAATTTTGGCAACAAAATCCAAACACAGAGGAGAATCATAAATGAAAATACAAAATAAGCAATATGGCTATAATGGCAAAAATAAATGACTGAACACAAGGAGTAGAGGAGACAAATCTTTCTTGAATCCTTTCAGACATCGTGGAGGTCAAGGTGGGCCCTGGGAGACCACCCATGCTTAGAAGGGCCCTGCCGTTTATCAAAGAATCTGTGTCATTGCCAATAACAATTTCTCATTTTCATTCGTGTTGGGTCTCACAAGGTATATAGCCTACTTGGACAGACTGAAAATAAACACGGGTTTCTGTTCCACTTGGCTTGGGCTGGAGACTAAAAAAATTGTGTCTCCAAATAATGCCTAGGTAGTGTGTATGGTCCACGCCCAGGAGACACACAGTGGATAGCAGTCTTCCAGGGATGCCCTTCCCAGAAGGGGATCTACCCCAGAAATAAAGTCTGAGATGGTGGACATGGGCAGTTGGGAAATGGGCAAGCAGCGTCTAATATAAACCAAACAAAATTTGAAGAATATCATATATTTCTATGGTAATAAAAATTGTAAAAATAAGAGATGTAGGTAAGAAGAGGGTTGAGCTACAACTTGCAATGCCAGTGTCTTCTTCCAATCCTGATTTCTGCTAATGCAACAGAGAAGGTAGAAGATGGCTCAACTACCTGGGACCTTGACATCCATGTGGGAGACCAGGTTGGAGTTACTGGCTCCCAGCTTCAGCCTGACCCAGCCCTGGTTGTTGTGGCCATTTGGAGTATGAACCAGTAGATGGAAGATCTTTCTTTCTCTTTCCCACCCTTCCTCCTTCTCTCTCCTCTGCCTTTTAAATAAATAAATAAAGTATTTAAAAAGTGTGTTGAGGTTAAAAAGAAAAAGGAGAGAGTTAGAAATCAGACTGTTCTTTTCCCACTTCAGGGTATCAAATAAACTTAGTAAGTTATTGTTAGACCCTCGGAGTGAGGATGCTAACACGTCGAGAGGCACACCCCAAAGACTCAGACTCCAGACCAGCTGATGCAAAAGCAAGAGGATTTATTCGGCATCTGCACAGACGGGCCTCCTGAACTCGGGAGTCCAGAGAGCACCCCCAGCACAAAGCCACACGGTTTATATACCCGCAGCGACCAATCAAAAGCACTATAGAGTCCATGCACACAGCTGTCCAGTCCGCGAGCTGATCATGTGAAGGGCATGCGTCTTCTATCCAATCAGCTACGGGATCACATGGGAGGCATGCACCTTGTCGCCATTATGTTGTTTACTTCTTTAGTAGTTCCTTTCCCTGCCAGCGCCATCTTGTTCACCCTGCGACGTCTCACTCCCTTTGTTCCCCTGGTGGGAGAGCGGCGTCCCGCTTCCCACACCGTTATTTGAGTATTAGGAGGCATACAAACTGGGTTAGGTCTTAGCACAGCCAGGCACAAGTGTCGCAGCTAGCTAAGCATAGGGTCCCTTATTTTTATAGCTGCACCTAATTTTAGCTTTTGGGGAAAAAGTTTAGGGCTGTAATTTTTAAACTTTAATTTTATTTGGGACAAAGGTAACTTCTTGTTTTTAATGGTATTGGCTTAGGTCACTCCATCTTGGTTTGATTTTTAAGGTTCTTCATTATCTGAAATGTTTCCTTTGCTTCCAGAATCTTTCAGAGCTAAGGAAGGTGAACCAAGTTTCCAAATACGATGGGAGTCATCTCTTCTGGTGCTTACGATCCCTCCCTGGGACAACTCTCTTTGTGAGAGTGGTGCACAGCACAGAGGTGGCAGATGTGCTCAGCACAGAGAGCAGGTGCTGCGTGGGGGACCCTGGGAAACCACTCGGGATTTGAATTCTCTTTCGGATGTAACAAGGACTTCGTAAGAACTGATACCAGAGAATGATAGGATGAGGTTGGTTCCTGGAGACCGAACTTTGGCAAATAGAGAATGGGTTTGGAGGGGATGGAACTGAGGATCATGGAGGAATCCTGGGGCAGGCGATGGCAGTGGCCCAGGAAGCTCAGGGGCTGGAATAGTGGGGGGAATTCCACAGGGCCGGAGCGGGAATTTCTGTGTGATATTTAAGGCCTCTGTGTCTGCAGGCAGGGAGGGGAAGGCCGGCTTGGAGTGTGGGTATTGGAATCCGGGAACTGAGTGGTTGGGGCTCGGGCAGGGGTCCTCACAGCTGAGCTCTGCAACTGGAGCACCAGCTCTGGTAGGTGGGAGGGGGGCACAACCAAGAGACCAGCTAACTATCCCATAAATATAAGGGTAGCCCTGGGCCTGCAAAGGAGCATACAAGACACCTCTGTTTCTTCCTAAATCTGGAAGGGGATTGCTCAAGAACATGAGGGAACATGCAGTAGACAGAAAGGGACGGTCATGGTCCTCGCCTAGCCAGGTTGTCCCCACACAGGTCTCTGCCTGCCATCCTCAGGTCCCTACTCTTACAGAGGAAGTTTCCCTCCAGTAATTGGTTTTGGTATTTAATGAACTATTTCTTGTGAAACTAAGTAGCACATTTTGAACCATTCTCCACTTTAATATTTCTGCATTAATGCATCCTAGTTGTTAAGAAAAAGAAAGAGGGGTGGAAGGACATTTTACCATCTCAGAAGGGGCATCCATTTGAAAATGAAAATGCTTTTCATGCTTACTGGGTGGTTTGTGTTTTTATATTTTGAAGCAAGTAAACAAAAGATCCAAGCCACTAGAATATCAAAATGCATCGAGTCAAATCTCACAGAGAAGAAAGTAAATGAATCATTAAACCCACTGTGGATTATTGGCATCATGGAGTCAATGAGACAGAGGAGCCACTGTGATTTAAATCAACACCTGAAGATAAAAGCTAAAGGCACTTAAATAACAAAGCTCATTAACGTGACAAACAGACTCCCACTCAGGGGAGGCCAGTGTTTGAATTCTCTTGGAAACAGCCCCCTCTTACTTTTAAATCATCCCTTTCATGCTCCATTGCTCAATAAATGCACCAAGGTCTGGAGTAAAATTTGATGATGAAAAGGATTTGCTCTTGGAAAGAGAAGTGAGCTTACTGCAGAGCAAGGTGGGTATCGGGGTCTCAGGGGAGGGAGAAGGGAGACCTCGTGTTTAAGAAGGTGCCCTTGGTGGCTTTAAGTGCATGGTATTAAATTCTCGTGGCCGCATGGATGAAGAGTTGCTATGTGTTTTATAAAGAAAGAAATATGTGTCTGGAGAAGTTAAGGAAAAAGAGAGCAAAGGAAAAAGCCAGCCACTAAGCAAGTGGATCTCAGGGCTACGCCCCAACTCCACACATGACTGGGCTTCTTCACCCCAGACTCAGCCTGTCCTGCAGGATGGCCATGACGAATGAAGCCATCATTGCTTACGCACAGGGAAAGGAGTGCCCCGGGCTGACTTTTCCCTGCTGCAGCCTCAGAGCTGTGCTTTCGTTTCTAAGCAGAAATTGAGCACTTTGTGTCTGCTTCTCCTGGCTGAGGGTCGGGCTCCCTCCTGGGTCCTGGGGCTGCACCTGTGGCCCTGGGGCCCTGGGGCTGCACCCAGGGGCTGCACCCAGGCCATCTCTGCAGGCACAGTGGCCTCGCAGGAGCCAGCAGGGCTCACACTTGAGCTTCCCCACAGCCCAGCTCTGTCTACCAAGTCTGCCACAAAAATGTCATGCCTCCAGGTGCTACATGGATTATTCATGAAGGCTTCAAGCTGTCGCCATGGGAGCCAATTGGCTGCCGCGTTTTTAGCATATTAATGACCGACCCTGATTTAGTGCAGGGTGGGCAGCACCTGCATTTTTCGGTTACTGGACCTGGATCTGCGTTTCCATTTGCAGGGTGTGTTTGTTCTTTCTCTCCAGACAGGCCCGGGAGTAATATTTACGTAATTCACTAAATCCAAGTAAGCAGGAAGCCCCCTTGGAGCCTTGATCAAAGGCCTTCCCCACTCTGGTGGGAGTCAGTCTTAGGCTGCAACTCCTCCCTTCCTCTCTCACCCTTACAGGCTGGGTCACCAAGCGAGACGCCCTGAATGGAGACATTACATCAGCAGGACTCTGTCACCAACACCAAGCCCTGCTCAGGCCCAGGCTGCAAGGACAGCTTCGCTGCACTGGCCCTCAGAGGCTTGTCCATGCTGCGAACATGCCAAAACTACACCAAAAAGAAGTCCCTCGTAGAGCTGGCATGCTGGTACACTGGGTTAGGGTGCCATTTACAACAGTGGCATCCCGTATGATGCCAGCTGGAGTCCCAGCTGCTCCATTTCTGATCCAGCTCCCTGCTAATGTACCTGGGAAAGCAGTGAAAGAGGGCCAAAGTGCTTCAGCCGCTGACACGCACTTGGGAGACCTGAAAGAAGCTCCTGGCTCCCGACTTCAGCCTGTGTCAGCCCTGGCCATTGCCGCCATCTGGGGGTGAATCAGCAGATGGAAGATTCTCTCTCTCTCTCTCTCTCTCTGTCCCTCTCTCTCTTTCTCCTTCTTTCCTTCTCTGTAACTCTGTGTTTCAAATCAATAAATTCATCATTTTTAAAAAGTTCCTTGCATAGCTTCCCACCACACCTCCTGCGTGGGTCCTGGAGAACTCGACTGATGC